TTTATTAAATACAATATGTTAAAAATTTGATAAAAAATTTTATTCTGTATTTTATCTATGTCACTAATTTTATTTTAATATCAATTCATGCAATGCATGAATTCATGCCATGCAAATTATTTGTGTGTTCTATATTTATTATTTTATAATTTTTATAAAGAATTAAGTGATTTTGCATCATTACATAAATAAGAACACACATTATACATATATTAAAAAATAAATAATATATGGTGCTCCTACTATTATTAAATTGATTTATTTTTCAATTTTTACGTTTTTCAAGTTTCTTATCGCTAATTATATATTATGTATAATTAGAAAAACCTTATATATTGCTTCGAATTTGCAAATAAATTCCTGGTGCCTAGATAGATGATAGTTTAATTAAAAATATTTATATAATATTTAAATAATACTTTATACTTGCCATAGTGCCTTTGATGACAATGAAAAACAAATATCACTATTGAAATTTATGCTCATTCCTATCGATTTATATTTTATTTATCGTAAAACATTTTATTGAAAATAACTTTATCCACAAAGATATTTACATTATAGATATAATCATTTCATAAAAGATAATTTTTTTTATCGATTTTTATTTATAAAAAATTAGGCGGGACCAATGATATATTGCACCTTTCATAGAAAAAAATTTACAATTTATATTAATATGTTTATACTTATGATATCTAATTTTTTATCATATTATGTAAACATATTATACCGCCAAAATGTTTTCTTTTTTATAGTTTTTATTATTGTTTATGTAGTTTTTAATATTTGTAATTAACATATCAGTATTTTATAAAAAAATATGTCTTTTAAAAAATAAAATAAGTATGTAATACAATGAACTAAAAATATTTTATTTTGAGAAAATACTGTGAGAATTTTTTTCAAACAAAAAAAACAATCTATGACTAGATTGTTGATAAAAAATATTATTTCATATTTAGAAATCTGATTAAATTATTGTATTACAAAATTTGTTTTATGTAATGCATTTAAAAGACACGAAATATGTTTCTCATAAATTATAAAAATAGAACTCATTTCGACGACTTACAAAAGGCTGTTAAAGTACTTATTGTATTCCATATGTGAGCATTTATGATAGAATAAGGCGCTGTTCGATGTTTTATGTATTTAAATATACTATATTTAATAGTAATAAGCAGAGTACACATAATATTATTATTTGAAAATCTAATATATATGTTACTTATTTTACAATGCTATTATCAACTGATACCCTAATGTATTCCGTCCTAAAGTATTATTATATATATATATATATAAATATATACATACATTGTTATATACATATGTATAATTTTTCGCTTTGTAATAAAAAAGATATTATTAAAAAATTATATTGTAGATTTGTCAAAGATATATTTAATTCATGTTTTATATATTTTATGAATTTTTAATAATTAAATTAAAAATTCATAAAGACATTTAATTATTAAAAATACTGTAAAAATGATAGTGTTATCTTCATAAGTTTATAAGCTTTAAAATAAAAATTTATAGCATAACTAAATACTACTACAAAATTACAAAAAAAATTTCAATAAAAATTTATATATTTAAATAATAAAAATTAACATATAAATTATTCTTCAATAATATAATTCCATTTCTCAAATTCAAAAATAATAAATATTTTCTGACTTTAAAATTTCTATAACTTTATATTAAACGCGCGTAACAATAAGAGCAGTGCAAAAGAGAAAACTTGCTACTAACACAGATTATTATAAAATATCTTGTTGAATTTATAATATCAATCATTACATAAATCAAGAATATGTATTTACTCATAATATTGTCATATATTTGACAATTAATATTTAAAATTAATATCGGGCGATATCAGACAAATAGGATAATAAATATGATATTTTTATATATTTACAATATGTTATATTTACATATGTAAAATACTAAATGTTTATTTATCTGTATTTAATTTTATTTTTATGAATTGATTTCAATTAATTTTTCAAAATATATTTATAATAAAATAAAAAACATTTTCTAGTTTATCAGTTTCTTTTTAATAAACTAATAGGCTGGAGTTAAATGCATTAAAATTATTATGAAGGAATGTTACGATGCGATGATTAAACATATCTTTTATAAAACTTAAATAAATATGTTGCATAAAAGGCATTGTTTGTCAGCATTGTCATTGTTCTTTCTAATGCATAACTTGATAATGCATGAACATCTTTAAATACTTTATCTAAAAAATTCAACATCTTTTATTTGCTATATACAAAGTGAAATTCTGAATTACTT